CACCCGGCCCCAACAGAAGCCGGACAGGAGACAACAGTTCTCTCGAGGAGGGCATAGAAACCAGGGCGCAGACTGAAGAAGTCCAGAAGAACTGCAGATTCGAAAGGCCCATGTCTGCAAAGAGCAGACGGGAACCCCAGAAGGATGGGGCGGATCGACCACGTCCAACGCACCCACCAAGATGACATGACGAAGCGCAGGGGAAGAAACCCACCCCGCCAGCTCTGAACCCCCCAAAGGGGGAGAGATGTATGTCCATTAAATAAACCCTCATTTAAATACCAACAAATGATGTTGGGACATACAAACATCAAATGATTCCAAAGTTTCTTCACCAGCTGCCAAATAACTGAGTGTACATTCTGCCACTAGTAGAATAGCCCGCATTTTGAATGTGTGGTGGTGAAAGTATCTTTCACCACCGGCCTCTGAAAGTATCACCACCGGCCTCTGGTGGCGTCTACTGACGCCACCAGAGGCCGGAAGACAACCAAAAGCGCCCACCAACAGCGGGACCATGCGAGAGTCAACAGAGCAAGCTGCTCCCCCAGCGCCCCGTCAACAGAGTAGGGAACAGAACCCCTTCTGAAAGAAAAAGTACACATACATATACACATTATGTATATACACATTCATATACCCAATCACACAGCGTACACAAGCACATGCGTACACTCACACATTGTAGTTAGGAAGTGATGTGGTGCAGGCTGACTCCATACACAGTTTCAAGTGTAGATATGATAGAGCCCAATGGGCTCAGGAATCTGTACACCTGGTGAATAATGGTTGAGAGGCGGAACCAAAGAGCAGAGCTCAACCCCCGCAAACACAACTAGGTGAGTACATACATTGCAAAAGAAAAGTACAGTATCCACTCAATTTGATGCGAAGATGCGACCAGATGCGAAGAGCAGAGGAGAAGGCCGAACCAGCCACGTACCAGACTGGTCCGACCTGCCAAAAGAGGCGGAGCCGCGGGTTTGGACACCGATCAAGCAACTTCTGAAAACAAAGCAGGGCCGGCCACCAAGGGGCCACAAGGACTACTCTCCTTGGGAAGGACTCCAACCGAGCCAGAACCCGAAGCAACGGCTGGACCGGTAAAGAAGTACAGGTAACTCCACCTTGACCAGTCCTGCCAAAAGGCATCCACCACGAACGCCTCGCAGGCAGGGAAGGGCGCCACATAGAATGGGAGACGCCGAGACCACGCTGATGCGAAGACCTCCATGTCCGGGAGTCCGTACGTCCGGCCGAGCCAACGAAAGTGGCGATGACTGATCAATCCGTGAACAGAGGAATGAACCAAGGCCATCCACCAGGACGCAGGACACTCCCCGAACATGAAATGCACAAAGAGCCAAACCTCGAGAATCCTGCAGCCGAGCCACTGGAAGGGACCAACCATAAAGGAGCAAGTACCGAAGAGAACCTCCGTGATTCCGGCAACGAACCACCGGAGAACAGTCCGAATGGAGCCAGATGGTAGAGCCCCAAGTGACCCAAACCCTCCAAAGTGCAACCAGACAGCCACGAACTCCTGAACCGTGCTGTGAGCCTGACGGAAGGACGGACCCCACCGTCCCTGGCCGGCCTGGTGAGCATTGGTTACAAAGCCCCAGCCGAGAGCCTGGGGCTCGATGTGTCCGTGGACACATCAAGCGAAGGCTCGAGGAGGCGCCAAGGCACGAAACCCCGAAAACCCCAAAGAGGAAGCCAGCGATGCAGCACCAACACAAGATCCCCGGAGGAAGAACCCAACGATCGCAAGAGAGGCGGAAAGGGAGTCCCCAAAGAAACCAAAACAGACACTGAGATAACTTGACCCAGCGAATAGACCAGCACTGCGAAGTTCAAACTCCCCGCACAACCGCTCGAGCAACCGCCGAGTTACCTGGGACCCCCTCAGAAACAGCCGAAGGCAGGACCGCAGTCGCAGCATTGCCTGTGGAGGGAGAGACAAAGAAATGATCCAATAGTCCTAAACAAGACCCAGCCAGGTCCGAACTCGGGACAGAACCAGATGGAATGGCCCCCAGTTCATCAGGAACCCGAACCCGGTGATCTGGACAGAACCACACCCCTGGCGAGCAGACAAGCGGACCGACTGGGAGCCCACACCAGCCAGTCGTCAAGGTGGGCCCGAAAACCGAATCCGGAGCAGACGCAGACAGATCACCAACATCTGGTAAGGATGCGTAAATCAGCTAAGTGCCCATTACAAACTAGGGAAGGCAACAAAAACGGCAAGCCTGAAGCCCCACCACCATCTGTGCCAGTCCTGGAACCCTGGAGAGGAACGTGCCAAGAAGTGCCCCTGAGGTCCATGGACACCAACCAGGCACCCAACTCCAACAAAAGCCAGACTGGAACCAACAATCTTTCGAAGAGGGCAAAGAATCCAGGGTGCAGATTGAACAAGTACAGAAGAACCGCAGGTCCGCAAAGTCCTGAGTCTGCATTAGAATAGGCGGGAACCCCAGAAGGATGGGGCGGATCGACCACGTCGAAACTCACCCACACCAAGATGACATGATAAAGCGCAGGGGAAGAAGCCCACCCCGTCAGCCCTGAACCCCCCAAAGGGGGAAAAGCTGCCCGACGCCACCAGAGGCCGGAAGACAATAGAAAAACTCCCACAAACTGCGGGACCAAGCGAGAGCCAACAGAGCAAGCTGCTCCCCTCCCCAGCGCCCCATCAACAGCGAAGGGAACGAAGCCCCTTTCCGAAAGAAAATGTATTTATATAAATACACACACACAAAGACATATACAGTATCCACTCGATTTAATGGGCTATGTGGGGCTGTACCCTGGTGGTTATTTCTGGAGCTACGGTATTTCCGAAGTTAAGTGTCGGTAATTTTTCAAGTACCATTCAGGCAAGATATATTTTGTACAGACTGCCACTGGGTCCACCATTCTAGTGCCTTCTACCCTGTGACGTCACAGATTCACAGCACACTGTTTTGATTTGTCATGAGGCTAGAGTGTTCATTCCATGATTTTGTTGGACATATCTGTACAATCAAGGAACATCCGTGCACCATGTTGGCTCCAAATGCACTCATTGTGTCAGTGATGGCTGACTGGTGGGTGGATAGGCAGGCAGGCAGGGATGGAGAGGCAGGCAGGCAGAGCTGGGAGAGGGGGGGCAGGGAGGTAGAGGCAAGGAGGGAGACATGCAGGCAGAGCTTGGGAGGGAGGCAGGTAGGCAGAGGCTGGGTGGTAGGCATAGAGGGAGAGGATTGAGATGGATGGTAGGATGGAGATTGATGGATGGATGGATTGATGCAGGGAGGGAGGGAGGGAGGGATGGAGGGATGAATGTTGAGGTAAAGCAGAGACAGCATGTGTATAGGAGGTATGGGTTGGAGGTGTGTCAGTGGTGGGGACGGACCGGCTCACTGATAAGCCTAACACACTTGACCCAGTTAACCAGATGTTTCTTAACACTTTCGCCCGGGCATGACGCAGCATTGCGTCATCTGTTTACTGTCGGTAATGCCGGGGATGACGCAGCATTGCGTCATCCACTTTAAATAATCGCCAAAAATCAGGTTTTTATCCGATTTTTTTGGGACTGGTTTTAAAATGCACGCCGATGTCTTCCCATTTTCCTTGTTGCGCCTCGTGGCCCGCAGGCGGCTCGGGCCACGCCGTCGGCCCATTGTTTTCGCTCCACTGTTGTGACCAATGTCACCTCCCCTCGCATCTCAAACGTGTGAACATTTCGGCTATTTTCCGTGGCTATATTTCTTACTGTGGCTTTAGAAACTATCTACGCTTACTCCACGATGGATAGTGATCATGAACAAGGCCCTTCCAGGAAGAAATTTGCGAAAGAAAGGCTTGAAAAGGGCGGGAATTGGGAGTGTAGCTGGAAGGCATCTGAGTGCTCACTTGCGGCTAACGCGTGGCCCATCTTCAACTCGTCGGCGGTTGGAGCGTGACCAGGTTTTTTATTTTATATGCAAATGTTCCTCTAGAGAATTCTATTGCAAACCCATTGAGACCAAAATGAAAGACCTTGGACGAAAATTGAGGTGACCAGAGTGAAAATAGTGAAAACATTTTATCGCGTTTGCTCGCTCCTGGGTAGCTCGTTTGCACTTTCTCTGTTTGCTGCGGGTAATTAGCCGGGCTTTTGGAATTTACATGCATTTAGTGCTGTAGAGAATTCTATTGCGAACACAATGATACCAAATTTAATCTCGTAGGACGAGAATTAAGGTGACAAAGTTGAAGAGAGTATACTTTTCAGAATTTACGCGCGCTCCCGTGACACCCTGGGGCCCAAATCGCACAGTTGAGGGGTGGCGCGCGGGGTACGCCAAAGTGTTAATTAAATTCTGGATGTTTTTCCATCTAGAATTTTCCATCTGGGTTGGATGTTCCTAATATTATTAGAATAGTAAAAAGTTATAAAATACTTGTTTCATGAATCCTTTATTGTATTAAATGGAGATTCTCCAGGCGGTCTCTGGCTGGCTGGCAATATACTGAGCCATTTCCCAGAAGGGTCTTGAGGGGGAGGGGGGGGGGGCAGGAAGTGAGGGTGTGGGGGGGAGAGCAGGAGTGTGGGAGTGGGGGGAGAGGTGCAGTGAGGGTGAGGGAGGGGACGATAGAGGTAGGCGGCCTGCTTGCCACGTGAGGACCCCCTGATGCCAAAACAAACCCAATACCGACCTTCGGTAACATAGACCGCCAGACCGTTATATGAGGCTCTAAATACCGGTTTCCCAAACCGGTCGTTATTACCGGCAGATCAGTATAAAAGAGGCCGTTAAGGCCTCTTTTATACCGATCAGAGGCCTGCGCACCCTCAATCTAGTGACTCAATGCGCTCTGTGCAGTGCAGTGGTTAATAACTTACCTATGACTCGGAGTTCGATCTGATAAGAAGAGGCACCGAGACCCCATAGAAAGTTTGAATGGAAAGAGCCCTGTTACTGGCTAAGTGAGGCTGTAACAATAATATATATATATATATTTACCTTAGCAGACTGATACAAGGTGTAAAACATGGCTGAAGGTCGTATGACACGTATGCTTGGTGCCGTGTCTACTCCAAATGGCACACACCGGCACGGTAGTTGGCGATCACTTTGATCCTCACTCTCTTCCACTTCATTCATCTAGATATAAAAAGACTATTAATTTATTTAAATTTTTTTTCATCATTTTTGTAATGTGTTGCATATATCAAACAATAAAAAAGTAATACAAAACACCAAGCCTTAACACAGTAATGTTTAGTAACTAGTACCGTATAATATCACACTATCCATATTGTGCTAAAATATTCACACTCCCATCAGAAATAGTTGGCAATTATTTAACAATACAGAGCATCCTTGACTCGGCAAATTATATGGAATCAACATCGATTCACTTGAGTGGGAGATTTGTTGCAACCGGAGATGCCTTCGGGAGGCATTTGTGACATGTATTTTTTTTAAAGACAAGAAAAATACATTGCTTCACCTGTTTCTTTTAATAATGATTCCTTCTATAATTATCATTAAAAATGTGACTGGAGCCATATTAAGTTACCATCCATACTCAAATTTATCATACACTATGGGCTATTTTCAATTAAATTAATGTCATTTTAATTTCAACCTAACATATGATTGACAACTACCATGAGAACCAAAATCACTCAAAATTACCAAAATCAAAATTACCAAAACTACCAAAATCAAGAAATAAGGTGATTTCACTACATTTAATATATTTCCCATGGCCCAGCCTCAAAACCTCATTTTCATAGGAAGAAGGGTCTTTATTTTAGCGAATGAAACATAAAGCCATACAATTTGGCATTAAATATGCTCAATGGCTTTACCAATGCTGCAACTCCTTACACTATTGTGTACATATACAAAAATAATTTAAAATGTGATTGAGCCAGTTACCATTCATAAGCTAATATTTCCCATTCTCAATGGGTTAATTTCACAGAGCAAAATTTTAATTTCAATGTCCTGTATCATATGATGGACAACTTTCCCCACACATCTGAGAACTCTGGCCATATTTTGTAAACAAATTTGCACATCTACCAACTTTGCCAATCTCCAAACACTAATTTGGCAAAGTGGGTGAGTAAATCCAGCTTATAAAGTGTGCATTGCAACCAAAGATTCCCTGAAATGAGGTTTGCCAAACTGAAGTTGCACTGTATATTAATATCATTAGATAACTTAAGAAATGTACATTTTTCAAACAATGAAGCATAAAACAATTCTGCCAAAATGCAAGCAATGTAGAACTATCATGAAACATTGCCAAAATGAAATTATTTATTTCATTTTTCCACTACATTTAATTTTTTTTATTTAACATGTTTTAGTGCCCTTTGAGACAAAAGTAGAACCCCCGCCTCTAAAGAAACCACTCTTTAGAGTGGTTTCGGGATTCCATGACGGACGGAATCCCGAGTCCAGGCACAACCCTTCCGGGAAGGCTCCCCCACAAGCCACCCAGAGCACCAACACGTGTGACATAGGCCAACAACTAACTTAGGCTGCCTGCAGATACTGCACCACCACAGACTCTGTAAACGGCAACAGACAAAAAGGCGAAGACAACTGAAGAGCCAGGGCCCAAGCGGATTCCAAGGAAGAAGCAAACACCGCCTGCTGACATGTTAGCCGAGAAGCATAAAACTGTGAAACCGCATCCTGCAAGAGTGGCGAGAAGAGCTTCAACAATGCAGACGATGCCTGTACCACCGAGGGCAGTACACCAGTTCCAGCAGCGACCCCAAGCGCCCCCACATCCAACTCAAGCCAATCCGAGGACAACTCAAGAAGGGAGAAGAAACAAGCAGGGCTGAAGCCAGCAGACCACGAGTACACAAATCCTCTGCAATATCTTTGATAGACACCATAGGGAAGGAACCTGCACATGAAGCTGCATCACACCAACATCCCGCAAAAGGGGAGGGGCGAACAAACATGCATTGAGGTGCTCGAAGTCGTCCCCCAGGAAAACCTGCAACACCGTCTGAGCCTCCCTCAACTCAAGCGCGTGGGACCGACAGAACATATGTCAAACCTTCAACGAAAAGAGTGGGCAGTCTGCCAACCAGGACGACTCCGGAACTTCATAATGAAACCAGTACGGACAAGATGATCCGTAAACAAAGGAGCGCAGATCCCTCACGAAAGCATAATCCAGGTCGTGCAGGAGGTAAGCCACAAGGCCTTCTGGCACCTCATGAGAAGGGACGCTGGAAGACGAAAACCTCCGGAAAGACGGGACGGAGGAACCCAGGGGATCACTAAACTGAACCCGGGGAGGGGTAGACACCAAATCCAAGTCGTATGAGGAGGGAACAAAAGAGAACCCCTCTCCTTGTAACACTAAGCCCTGCTCTGAGGGAAGAAAAACCCAGGCAGGGTCCAATGGGGCCCAAGGCCTCCCAAGTCAACATCTCCCCCACCCCGGGAACCTCACCCTGAGGACCCAGGGACGAGCCGGTCTCCAAACACCCCCGCCTCTAAAGAAAAAGCGGGAGCCGCCAAAAAAGCTAGAACGAAGGGGGCCCACTGGTCAGACCCAAAAGCTCTGGCTGGAGGATCAGGCTCAAATGCTACCGCCGAAACCCCTGAAGGGGACTCCCCCGAGACCACCCAAGTCTGAACACCAACTAGACCCTTGCCCCAAACCCTCAGACGCTTTGGAGCCGGAAGCAAGGCGGGAAGGAACCGGATGCACAACAGAAGGGAAAGGACTAGGAGGGGGCGGATGGAACCAGAGCTGAAGCGGCTCCCACTCTCAAGTCCGGGTCCCAATAACCAAAATGAGGCAGTCTTGGGGCATCCGGGGCCGCAACTAACCTTGCGCATTGCAGCAACCTAAATCTAGCATGCAACGCAGCAGCTGCCTGCACCCTCATATCATGGTCAGTGGCTTGGATGAACTGGAGCACATACAGACAACAAGCGTCGCACGACTCCGGGTCAAAAGAATCACCGACCCAACAGGCAGTACGGTGGAGGCACAACCCGTGAGTGTCGCCCTGAGACAAGGGAACAGAGCAACCTTCAAGCTCGCACAAAGCGAGAGGGTATTCAAGGGTCACATCCATCGGACCACGGAGCCCCCGCAGGGTTTCTCAGGGCCCTTAGCCTTTGTGTCACACTAAGGGAAGCCCAGGCAGGGTACTGCGAACCGGCGCCCAAGTCTATCAAACGAACTGCGAAAAGCTGAACCCTTGGGATGTGTCTACTCATAGGGGCCCAGCAGGGGATACCACCAAAACACAGAAGCGAATATATATATACCCAAACAACAGCTAGGGGGGAACCACAAAGGCAGACCCACTCCGAACCCAACCAAGCAGAACCCCTCACCAAGCAGAAAACAAAAACAAAAGAAAAACCCCACAAGAGGACATCATACCCAGGCGGAACAGAGCCAGCCGCTATAATTGGTGAAAACTAACTTTGCATTTCATTGCGCCCCTACCAGTGACGAAAACTACCCCCAACCCAGAGACAAACAAGGGCAAGAAACCCCCAGCTGCCCCCAAGGGCGGCCAAGTACCGAGCAGTAAAAGGCACTGCGGAGGTAGATCCCCAGGTGACTTGTGGAAAGAGGCCCCAAGCCCCAAGGGCAGTACTTACCGGGCAAATAGGGAAGGGAACCCTAGGTGCATGCAGCCCGAGTACCGTGGAATATTACACCTGGCTCACACACCACCTGGAGAGAGAGCCCACATCACAAGACACAGAACTGAGACAAAAATACAGTACCCACTCGATTTAACGGCCTCTTATTTACCAATCTGCCGGTTCTAACGACCGGTTCGGGAGACCAGTATCTGGAGCATCATATACTGGTCTGGCGGTTGATAGAACCGTAGGTCGGCACTGGGTTAGTTTTGGCATCAGGGGGGGGGGCCCTCACATGGCAAGCTGACCACCGACCTCTGTCATCCCATCCCCCCCTCACTTCCTGCCTCCCCTCCCCCACCCCCCAAGAAATCCTTCTGGGAGGTGGCTCAGTAGATTGCCAGCCCAGAGAGCCTGGAGAATCTCCATCTAATACAGTAAAGCATTCATGAAACAAGTATTTTTATAACTTTTATTATCCTAATATTATTACTAAACAAAATCTGTAAACAAAAATATATATGATGTACATCCAGAATTTAAGAAACAAATCTGGCTAACGGGGTCGAATGTGTTAGGCTTATCAGAGTGAGCCGATCCCTCCCCCACCACCCCTACATCCCATACACACACTCTCTCTCTCTCTCTGTTTCACTGGTCACGTAGTTCAACTCAACACCCATCCACCCCTCCCTCCCTCCATCCATCCATCCTTCCATCTACCATCATCCATCCTTCTATCTATCCAACCTTCTATCTATCCAACCTTCTATCTATCCAACCTTCTATCCATCCATCCTTCTATCCATCCATCCTATCCATCCATCCTTCTATCCATCCATCCTTCTATCCATCCATTCATCCTTCCATCAATCCATCCATCCCTCAATCCACCCCTCCCTCATTCCACCCCTCCATCCATCCATCCCTCACTCCATCCATCCATCCATGCCTCTATCCTTCCATCCATCCCTCTATCCTTCCATCCATCCATCCCTCTATCCTTCCATCCATCCATCCCTCTATCCTCCCATCCATCCATCCCTCCCTCTATCCATACATCCATCCATCCCTCCCTCTATCCATACATCCATCCATCCCTCCCTCTATCCATACATCCATCCATCCATACCTTGAGGTGTTTCCGAGGCTTAGCGACCCCGCAGCTCAGTCCTCAAAAAGGCCTCCTCATTGTTAGACTGGCCAACCAGGCTGTTGGACGCGGCTGCTCGCAGCCTGATGTATAAATCACAGCCTGGTTGATCAGGTATCCTTTGGAGGTGCTTATCGAGTTCTCTCTTGAATATTGTGAGGGGTCGGCCAGTTATGACCCTTATGTGTAGTGGAAGCGTGTTGAACAGTCTTGGGCCTCTGATGTTTATAGTTCTCTCTCTGAGAGTACCTATTGCACCTTTGCTCTTCAACAGGGGTATTCTGCACATTCTGCCATGCCTCCTGGTCTCATGTGGTGTTATTTCTGTGTGCAGGTTTGAGACCAGCCCCTCTACTAT